GGTTGGCCCCGCGGCCGGCGCCGCCGACCACACGGCGGGTCCTCCCCTCTGGGGATCCCCCAGGCCCCGTGAACGGGGCCCCGAGGTGCGCCCCCCCCAAAAAAACCGAGAGGCCCCCAAGAGGCCCCAACTCGGGCCCCAGCTCCTCCCTCTTCTCCCTCCCAGGAGGGAGGAGCGTTGGAGGACCAATGGAGGGAGGGAGGGAGGGAGGAGAGGGAGGGAGGGAGGGAGGCGAGGAGCCCCCGAGGCGCCCCCAGAGAGCACGCCCGAGACCGCCTCCAGGAGGCGGATCCAAGAGGCCTCCCAAGGCGGCCGGGGCTGGGGCTGCGGCCACGGTTCTGGCCACGGCCACGGCCAGGGCCCCACAGGTCGGCGCCGGGGCCAGAGCAAGGGCCCGGGGTCGGCCCCCCCCCCATTGGGGGAGGCCTTGCCTGGCTTCCCTGTCTTTCCTGTTCACAGGTTCACAGGTGGGTGTCTTTCCTGTCTTTCCTGTCCTTTCCTGTCTTTCCTGTCTTTCCTGTTCACAGGTGGCCATCCCCCCCCTTCTAACCCCTTCCTCTGCCACGCCCTTACCCCCTGTCAAGGGGAAACATGAAAGGGAGTCGACTTTTGACTACGACGTTTCTTTCTCTGCTCGTTCTTCGTTTTCTTGGGCCTGGCGACGAAGACGACGAAGACGACGACAGCGTCCCACACGCGCTGAAGGGTCGGGTGGCACCCGAAGGATAAGATTCGGGTGGATCCGAACCTCAGGAAGCCATTCAGACCCCCCCTTCCGATGAAACCATAAACGCATCCAGCACCCGGAGGTGTTATCTAGGCACCCTGAAATGGAGAGGAGGAATGAGCTCAGTTCTATCAGTCTGGTTCTAGCAATCCACAGGAGTATATGTGCATCAGTGTCAGCATTGTCACCCTTATTAGTTATAGATGTCAGTCGCGGTGCATTGTTGCGTGTTGTTTAATCCGCCCCCGCGAACAAATTATTGTCGTTTCGGTGCTAACGATAACCCAGGGATGGGGGGTCAAAATGGTTTCCTGAGGTTATATCCCCACCAGGAAGTAAGGTTGGGGTCTGGTAGTGCGTTCGTCGAAGCGAAGTCCTCGCCCTTCTCCTACCTCCTCCATCGCCTCCCCCCTCTCCTTTCCTGGGGGAGAGGAGGGGGGAGGAGGCGGAGGAGCAGGACGAGGAGGACGAGAACGAGGACCAGGAGTGGGGGAGAGGAAGCAGGGAGGGAGCAGTGAGAAGGACGAGTGTGTAAGCGATCCCAGGGACGCCGACGCCACCCACGCGCTTCAGCGCGTTATCGCTGCAGCCGTTGGCACGACGCGTATCAAGGGGAGCGCGCGGGTGGCCCCGCGCACTTCCTCTGGTGACGTCGTATTGTTTTGGATGGAGGAGAGGGGGATGAGGATGGCATGGAGGGGGGGAGAAACGACAGCACAAACAGAAGGAGGAGGAGGAGGAGGAGAAACATGAGGAGGAGGAGGAAGAGGAAGAGGAGGAGGAGGAGGAGGAAACGAAGGACGAGGAGGAGGAGAGGGAGGATGATGATGATGAGGAGGAGGAGAAGGAGGAGGAGGAGGACAGGGAGGAGGAGGAGGAGAAGGAGGAGGAGGAGGATGAGGAGGACGAGGTGGAGGGGAGAGGAGGGAGGAGGGATGAGGAGGAGGAGGCAAGGCAGGAGGCAAGGCAGGAGGAGGCAGAGGAGGAGGAGGAGGAGGAGGAGGAGGAGGAGGAGGAGGAGCAGGAGCAGGAGCAGGAGCAGGAGGAGCAGGAGCAGGAGCAGGAGGAGCAGGAGGAACGGCAGGAGGAACGGCAGCAATGGCGAGCGAGGTCGGAGGGAAAGCAAGCGGGGTAGGAGGGGACTCGCTGGCTCTGGCCGCCCCCCTCCTCCTCCTCCTCCTACTCCTCCTCCTCCTCCTCCTCCTCCTCCTCCCCGCACCCGCCGCCGAGGCGGTCGCTGCGTGGCTGGAGCGGCTCCGAGGCTGCCGGACCCGCGGCGCGGGCCGCCGGGTTTCCGTCCCCCCGGGCCTCGGCCTTCCCTCCCTTACTCCACGGGGGAGGGGGTGGTAGATGGGCAGGGAGGAGGGAGGGAGGGAGGGATGGAGGAGGAGGGGTGGGAGGGAGGGAGGGAGGGAGCGGGGACAAGGGAGAATGAGGGAGGAGGAGGCGGCGGAGGAGGGACGGGAGGGAGCGAGGGCTGGGAGAGGCAAGGAGGAGGAGGCGGAGGAGTAGGAGGAGGTGGAGGCGTCGGAGGGAGAATGGGAGGGAGAGGGAAGGAGGAGGAGGAGGAGGAGGCGGAGGAGGAGGGGTGGGAGGAGGAAGGGAGGAGGGGGGTGAAGGAGGTAAGGAGACGGGATGAGGGAAGAGTGAATGGATGATTGAATGAACGAATGGAATCATGACATTTTTGGCACTACAAGCCAGCCTCGAATGCATCGAACTGCGAAACAGTGAACTGACTCTGGACAACATGAGGATTCTGAGGAGAACTGACTTTACACAACATTCGGATTCTGAGGAGATTCCCATCCGAAGCCCGCTGAGAGAGCAGCGCAGTCCTCCACCGCATTCTGCACCAGGCAGCACAGGGCCATGGTCCGCACTCAGGCCCGCACGCAACGAGCTCAAAGAGGCGGGCCCTAAGGCTTGAGGTGCCTCAAGCCGCTCTTCTCCTTCCCCGCCTACTCTCCCGACCACTTCCGCGACCACGACCCCGTCCCCCTCACTCTGAAGACTGCTGCTGTGACAGGAGAGCAGCAGGTGCATTCGGCAGCGACTCGGGCGCGTACCGGCACTCGATTCTGCAGCGTGCTTGGGGCATCGGGCGCGATCATGCCTTCTTCCCAATCAACTCTCGAAGCCGATCCGATTGTCCAAGAGCCTCCGTCATGCCGCGTGGTCGACTGATCTGCTGCTCTCGCGCTCGAACGGCCCCATCGGGGCGGGTCCTGGGAGGCGACTCGCACCAGAGGAACTCGTCAGAGGCGTGGTCTCTGGGCCTGATTCTCGACCTTTGTCCTCAAGCCTGAGGCGGAAGTAGGGGACGGCGCGGGCCATCGTCGTGATAGTGGCTCCCCTGGCATGGCTGCTTCAGAGAGCTATGAACTCGTGTTAGGTCGGGCATGTCCTCCTGTACAGGAGGCTTTTGGACGAAAGATAAACGATATTCAGGCCATGCTCAACAACGACCAACTATATGCCAAGCATCGTCCCCGGACTATTCTTGGATTGTTGTTGAACTTTCCTCCCTTAATTTGTCTTTGATGGTGTCTGATGATGTCTGAACAATTCTCCTCCTAGTACAACACCGCCCCCCCGGATTTTTCCGATTTCTATATTTGGCTCGATTTGATAATTGTTGGAGGGACAGGCCCGACGGAAGACTCGTGATCCAGGAGGAGAAAAAACGCACAGACACAACCACTCGGCGAGCCCCAGGAAGACATGGGAAGATGTGGGAAGTGGGGGGGGGGGGGGAAGACGAAGACCCAGAAAAAAACATGGGACAATCTGGGGAATCCTTTTATGAATCGCTTCGCTCATGCCGCCGGCCCTGGAGCCCTCTTTAGGGCCTCTTGGGGGCCTCTTGGGGACCTCTTGGGAGTCTCTTGGGGCTCCTTGGCGGCGTTTTGGAGGCCCCCAGGGCCTCTTGGGGGGCTCTTTCTGGGGAATCCTTTTATTTTGGTGTGTATTCACTGGTGTGTCCCAGGGCCCCTGCGGTGATGCCCTCCCCCACTGGCCCGCGGCCTGCTCCGCGGAGGAGCGCGCGCGGGGCCCCCCTGGGCGGCGGCGCCCCGAGAGGCCGAGGGCCGACGCCGACGCCGTCGTCGAGGTCGGCGTCGTCGACGACGTCGTCGACGACGTCGTCGTCGTCGCCATCGTCGATGGCCACGCCGTCGTCGAGGTCGTCGTCGACGACGTCGTCGTCGTCGTCGCCGTCGTCGCCGCCGCCGTCGTCGTCATTACCGCTGTCGTTGTCGTCGTCGTTGTCGTCGTCGTCGACGACGTCGTCGACGTCGTCGCCGTCGTCGTCGCCGTCGTCGTCATTACCATTGACGTCGTCGTCGTCGTTGACGTGTGGGGGCCACGCGCGGGGGGGGGGGGGTCAGGGGGAAGGGGAAGGCCTCTCCGAAGCACCCTGCCTCTCAGACGGCGTGGGCCCTCTCCTGTTCAGGTGGGGCCGGCGCCTGCTGAGCCTTCCCCCCTCCCCCCTTTCCTCCCCCCCTTTTTCAGGAGGGGAAAAAACACACAGACACAATTAATCGTCGATCCCTTGGAAAATATGGGAAAATATGGGAAGTGGGGGGGAAGACAAAAAACGCAGAAAATATGGGAAAATATGGGGAATCTGGTTATTTGTGTCTATTTATTTGTGTGTTCCAGTTCCCCTTCACTTTTGCGCGCCGCCGAGCGCGGAGGGCAGGCGAGCGAGGGGGGGGGAGGGGAGTGCGAGGGAGAAGGCCCTCTCCGAAGGCCCTGGGACGCCCGAGCCTTCTCCAGCGGGCGACAAGAACGGTATAAAGTAAACTTTTTCGCCGTCGGGGACACCCTTGCTCGGGCCTCTCTCATCCTCCTCCTCCTGCTCCTCCTCCTCCTCCTCCTCCACCTCCTCCTCCTCATCTACCTCCTCTACCTCTTCCACCTCCTCCCCCTCCTCCTCCTCCTTCTCCTCCTCCTGCCCGTCGGGGCGGCTGGAAAGTTTATACCCGCCGCCAGGGGGCAGGTGCCTCCGACGGCGAAAACGTTTATGTTATACCGTCCTTCGCCCGTTCACTCCTGAGAGGGCCCGCCCCTTCTCTCAAGCGGTGGCGAAGCGTCCTGGCTCGCCTGATTACAGCCCCCCCAAACAATGTGGTTCCCACGAAATTGTGTGTTGGACATTTCTGGCGGAGACCGTCTTGGTTTAATTAACACATCGGGTTAACGTTCTAATAACATTGTCTCTGGTCTTGGGTCATGTTTGGGTTCTAAGAACATAATCGTGGTGGGACTGTAGGAATGCCGGGACGGTCGGTCCCTGCTCGATTCTCACTTTCCCCCCCCCCCGGGGTCGCCGCCGAGACGTGTGGGGGGCAGGCGAGGGCATCGAGGTCGGCGTGCACCAGCACAACTTTGCGCTGGAGGCCCGCGGGGGGCGGCGCGCCGCGCGGGGGCCTCGGGCCCGGGCCCGGGCGCGTGGCTCGGCACATGCTCGGGCGCGTGCACGTGTTCCCGGCGAGGACCATCGAGGAGCCTGGCATCGCTCGGACGTGTGCATTCTTTCTCGGCGAGGGCCATCGAGGAGCATCCTTGATCATTTGGCGAAAAAGCCACGCACGAAACCAACCAAAAACACAGGGAATGGACGTCCGAGCGATGGCGAGGGAGCGCCTCGGAACAGACCACGGACACGTTCACGCGCGAAGACCGAACAAAAAACGCACGGGGAGTGGACGTCTCCGAGCGGTGGCGAGGGGGAGGGGAGGGCCCCGGAGATCTGCCGACGGCCTCGGAGCCTGGCCGGGGCTCCTTTCGACTGCCCCCCCGGCGGCGAGCGGGAGGGGGGGAAATGAGAAGGATGAGGCCTGCTCAGAAGGCGGCGGGCCTTCTCGGAGGCCCTCGCGCCTTCCGAGAGGTCTTCTGTGCCCTCGGGGGAGGCTCAGAGATCTTTTCAGCAGGCCGGGGGACTTCGGAGCCTTCTCAGAAGGCCCGCCCGTTCTTTCTTTCACCCCCCGGGCTTGCCGCCGAGTGTGGAGGGGAGGGGGTCGCAGATTTGCCGATGGCCTGGGAGCCTGGCAGGGCTCAGTCCGGCTCCGCCGATTCGATTCGATTTCGGCTTCGATGGCGTCCGATTCTGATTCGGATTCCGACTTCGGATTCCGACCTGGGTTCCGATGTCTCAACGGAGGCTTAGGGGCCTGCCGATTTCCGCCGATCCAGCTTTCCTGGCACGGCTGCCGATTTCCGCCGATCCGACTTATCTCGATCGCCAATCCGATTTATCGATTCGATTGTGGGCTTGCTTGTCTGGACATCCAGCAGCTCGAATAACATCGGTCGGGGGTTGCTAAAGGAAATGTGACCTTGGCCCAAGGTGGTCTCAGATTTTCGCTTAATTTTGGAGCCCCTGGGGCCCTCTGGGCCCAGTGAGGGGTGCTCTGGAGGCCGTTGGGGCCTCCTTCTCGTCCTCCTTCCCGTCCTCCTCCTCCTCCTCCTCTTCGTCCTCCTTGCTCCTCCTTCTCGTCCTCCTTTTCGTCCTCCTCCTTTTCCTCCTCCTCCTCCTCCTCCTCCTCCTCATCCTCCTCCTCCTGCCATCCTCCTCCTCCTCCTCCTCCTCTCCTCGCCCTCCTCCTCTCCTCCTCCTCCCCTCGCCCTCCTCCCCCTCCTCCTCCCGATGCCGATGCCCCCCCCCCCCCCCCCCGCGGACCCCGCGCCCAGCGCATCGCGCAGCCTGACACCCCGTACGGGCTGGAGCCCGCCGCCGCGTGGCTCGGGCGCATGCTGGAGCCCGCCGCCGCCGGCCGGGGGGCCCGACGGGCCAGCGCAGCGGGTCGGGTCGGGCCTCTGTCGACTAGACGTAAGAGTGACCCTTCGCCGGAGTGACCTTTGGTGCGGGCTCATCGGGCTCCCCCCGATCGCCGAGCACGATGCGATGTAAGCGGCCCGCGCCCTTGGATTTGGCTCCCTCGCGCCCCCAAAAGCTGCGCACCAAAGGTCACTCTTACCCAGGGTCACTCTTACGTCTAGCCGACTCTGGCGGCTGTCCGGGACACTCCGTGCACCCCCGGGGCGCCCCTCGACGAGGCGCCGCCGCTGGAAGGCACGTCGTAAAACGACGCGAAGACCGGGACAAAATCGGATCGGGTTAACTCGAAATCTCTGAGAATCGTCGGGTTTGGAGGATGTATTGGGCGCCGCGGCCGCTCCAGAGCGTTCCGGAACGCTCTGAGAGCGCTCCGGAACGCTCTGGAGCGATTTATCCCGACCCTAACCTTGTTTTACGTGCACCCCCGGGACGCCCCTCGACGAGGCGCCGCCGCTGGAAGGCACGTAGACGTTGGGAAGGCCCCCGAGGACCGACGAAGCGCCGCACGGGTCGGGCCGAGGCATGAGGTCGAGGTCGGTTCGGGGAGGGTGCCCTGAGGGTTGTCGTGCCGGTTGGATGTTTTTTGGTCACCCTGGGGGACGGTACCCTCGCATGCTCTTCAGTGTGGCCGGCGGCGTGTCTCATGTCCCTGAAGGATGTTATTTTGTCTTAGGTCCGGCTGCATGAAAACCTCGATGCTCGAGGCCTCCCACCCACCCCAGCGCCGAATCCGAGTCCACTCCAATCGTGGCACGCCAGGAAAGTTGAGGCAGTGGCGAAGCGCCTTGACCCACCAAAGGATTTCCTAAGAACATGCTGTGTTGTTTCCACCAGGTCTTCTCAGAGCATTTCTGGTCGAGGCGGTCTTGTTTTGATACCATCGGCCTCGTGCTCTGAGAACATTGTGCTGATTATGAGACCACTTTGGTCAAGGGGGGAAAGACCACCCAGACCGGACAATTGGCGTTTACTAAACGGCCCTGCGCGTTTACTAAAAGCCCTGCCCTGTTCGATTCCTTTGGGGGCGTTTACTAAACGGCCTCGCTTGCCGGGTCGGTTCTTATAGGGGTGGATGTTATGCCCTCAATTTGGGATTCCGAGACAAGTTGAGCGGCAGGCTTGTAGGAATGCCGCGACGTGTGTGCCGAGGTCTCGCATGGTGCCCGCCCGTGGTCGCGCCACGCGCTAGGGGGGGGGGTGGCAGCGCGGAGGCTTCCAGTGGTGCCCGCCCGCTGGCGCCTTGCGGGCGCGCCCCGTGCCGAGGGTGGGGGCTTTCGAAGAAGAAAAGAACTGCCATAAACATACACCTTCGGCGCTCCGCGCAGATTTCTTGGATCCGCGCTGGCCCCCCTCCCCCTCCCCCCCCCGAGTGGCGCTGCTCGCGACAGGGAAGGGGGGGGGGTCCAGCGCAGATCCAAGAAATCCGCATGGAGCGCCAAACGTTTCTGCTGATGTCGTCTGTCCTCCTTCTTCTGCTTTTTGTGCTTCTCCTTCTTCTTGTTCATCTTCGTCTTCTTATTATTCGTCTTCTTCTTCTCATTATTATTGTTATTCTCATTATTATTATTAGTAGTATTCTTATTATCACCATGATTATTGTTTTTATTCGTATTATTCGTATTATCATTATTTTTATTTTTATTATTATTATTAAAATTATTATTATTATTAGTATTATTATTATTTTTATTATTACTATCATTATTATTATTATTATTTTTATTTTTATTATTCGTCTTCTTCTTCGTCTTCTTCTTTCTCTTTTTTTTTCTTTTTCGTCTAGGTCTGCCGAGGTTTGGCCCGGTGCCCGCCCGTGCGCGCCTCGTGGGCGCCCGTGGGCCCGTGGACTCGCGCGGTGTCCGCCCGCGGGCGCCTCGTCGGCGCCCCGCGAGCGGGGGGGCCAGCGCGCGGAGGCCTCGCCCGGTGCCCGCCCGGGGCGCGCCGCGCGGGCGCGCCCCGCGCTGGGGCCCCCAGCGAGGGCGACGTGCACGTTCGAGGGGACGGCTGGCCTCTTCGGCGGCCGACGCACGGGCGGCGCACGGGCGACGAATGCGCGACGCACCTCTTGTCGCGAAGGGGGGGGGGGTCAGCACGCCGGTCGTCTTTTACTGGGCCTTAACAGCTGGGGGGGGGCAGTGCGGAGGGTTCTTGGCTGGTGCCCGCGCGCGGGTGGGCGCCTCGTGGGCACCACCTGGCTTCCACCACGTAGCTTCCACCGCGCGTGTTGCGCCGCGTGTGCTCCACAGCACAGCCTGCGCCGCCTCGGCCTGCGCCGCGCGGCTTGCGTCCGCCTCTGCCTGCGCGTTTTCTACCCGACAGAGCTTGCACCACGCAGGCTGCGCCGCGCAGAGCGCGCTGCATGGCGCGCACCACGCAGCTTGCACCACACACATTGCGCCACATAGCTGGAACCATTTGGTTGCACCGCACAGCTTACACACTCATGGGCCAGCTAATTCCTGTTTGGGTTCCACGCTGGTTGTTGTACATACATATGTACAAATATACGCATGTGTATATGCAGTTTTTGCGTATAGGTGTGCACACGCGGCGAAGTAGCAGGCAACCCGACAAGGTGCGAAACATCTTGCAGACGGACACGTATTGGAAAGGCTCGACGTTCGGAGTCTTCGCGTGCGAACCCCGAGACCAGTGCGCGCCACCTGAGCGCCTGGACAGATTGGTCCGACTGCTTCGTTTCAGGTCGTTGTGAGTGCGCTTCAAGTTTTTTGCGGCGGAGCAGTGGTGAGAGGAAGGCGAACGAATCGACAGGGTGTGGGAAGGCAACATGCTGCGCAGCATGGGGATACTTCTTGAGTTCGCTGCAGCTGCAAGTGCCACCATTAGACCTGGAGACCAGTGGGCGTCACTCGAGCGCCTGGAGTGTCATCCGGGTGTGCCCGTTTCGCGCTGGTGCTGCGCGAGCCTGTAGTGAAACAAAGCAAATTGTCGCCCCAGTACACTCAACAACGGCCCCTAGAGGGGCCCGAGGCGGCCCACGATTGCCCCAATATTGCCCACGAGTGCCCCGTTGGCACTCCAAGAAGGTTCGAGAGAGCTCCAAAGATGCCCTTCAGACAGCGTCCGTCGCCATTTTGCCTCTGTTTGCAGATATCTCCGTTTGCAGATTCCTGCTGCAGCCTCGTGGTCTCCGCGGCGCCCCTCCGCGGCGCCCCTCTTTGCGGCGAGCGGGACCCCTTCCGCGTGGCCGCGGAGGCGCCGCATGCGACGACGCCCTGTGGGTCAGCGAGGTGTTCCGTGTCAGCTTCGTGACAAAATTGTTTGAGCACGGCCTCAAACTTGTGCCATGAAAGAGACTCCGGCGTATTTCGACATGCTGAGGCAGGAGGCGTTTGACATCTTATGCTTAGTTCTCTCTGAGAGGTCCCCGCTGTGCTCCAGCTGGGCCTCTACGAACACGTTCTCTGCACGGCAGCGCAGCCCACGGCATTGTGCTTCGTCGAGTGCTGCCTCCGATGGTGCGGCGTCTATTTTAGCAGCCAGTGCAACACCGACCAGAGGCTGAAGAACTGCAGGTTTAGCGCTTCGGACCTGTCCACGGACAGAATTGCGATGCGGACGACGATCTGGGCCAAATGGGAGGATTACTCTGTGGCGGAGGAGGTGCATTGCTTGCGAACGCATCCGGCGGCCTAGCTGAACGTCGCTGCGTCGATCAGGCCAGAGTGAGTTATCCCACGACGTTGCACATGGGGCGTTGTTGTCACACCGTGTCGCAAACTGCGAGCGAGCGTACGGGTGGCGTTTTATTTCCAGGCCCTTGCACGTTTTGGCAGGGCCTCTCACCTTGCCGATCAACCTTGGTGGTGGTAGTGAACTAATGCGTTCTCTGCAAACTGTTTGTTGAAATGCTTACCTTGTAGTATAACGATTGGTGCAGCTACCAATTCACGTGGGGCAGTTTTTTCTAAACGGAAATCCTTTCACTACCACGACCAGCGCGCAACTGTATTTTTTTTTCTTTCAGGCCCTTTGCTCGCTCCGAGAGGGCCTCTCGCGACCCCGATGCGTCAGCTTTCAGCCCTCCCCTCCGGTGTCAGGTGCCTGCGGCACATCCGCGGCCCGCTGTCGTTTTAGTCCCAGGCCCTTACTCGTTTCGGCGGGGCCTCACACCTTGCCGACCAACCTGGGTAGTGGCACTGGAATCGAAACAAGACAGAACAGCGTTTCATAGATGCCGAAGCCAACTCATCCGGGGCAGTTTTTCCCCTAAACGGGAATCCTTCCACCACCACGACCAGCGCGTGCCTGCCCTTTTCCCTTTCGGGCCCTTGCCTCGCTCCGAGAGGCCCTCACTCAGCCCCGCTGCGTCTGCTTCCAGGAGTCCCCTCCAGGGTGTCAGGGGCAGTTTTCCCCTAAACGGGAATCCTTCCACCACCACGACCAGCGCGTGACTGCCCTTTTCCCTCTCGGGCCCTTGGCTCGCTCCGAGAGGCCCTCACTCAGCCCCGCTGCGCCTGCTTCCGGGAGGGCCCCCTCCGGGGTGCCGCGTGCCCGCGGCAGGCCCGGCGGCCCCCTGCCCTCCGCAGCCCTCGCGAGTCCTGCTTCCGGCCAGGCGCCTCCGGGAGAGCCCCGCCCCCCGCCAGCCAGCGCAGCCCTGCGCGCGGCGACGCTTCGGGCCCCGCCCAGGAGGCCGCCACGCGTGGCGTGCCGCCTCCGCCCTCACAGGTGCGACCCTCCTCGCGGGTGCGACCCCCCTCGCGGGTGCGACCCCTCTCCTGGGGTGTCTTTAGAAAGGCTTGAAAGTGGTGTTTTGTCTTGGGCGGAGACGCCGCTTGGCGCTCGCCGCCGCCTCTCCACGGCACGTCGCTTCTCCGAGTGCTTCCTCCGATGGTGCGGCGTGCACCTCAGCAGCCAGAGCATGTCTCGAGACGTACAGCGCAGACCGTACGAAAAAAATGATACCGGAGAAA